ATGAATTTCTCCTATATAATTTTACATTGATATACTTTGAATTACTTATTTAAATACAAACATTGAGCATTTAATCAATCGCGGAATGCGCATATATATATATATATATATATATATATATATATATATATATATATATATATATATATATATATATATATATATATATATATATATATATATATACAAATCTAATAAGAGCCAATAATGTTAAGCCCTTAACTGGAACAAAAAAATGTTAATTTAACTGTTTCTTAAAATGAATGGTTTATATTATTTTGATTGTTATATTTTTAATGATTTTCCTTATTTACCCTCTATTATATTATTTACTTCCCTTAGATAACCCTAAATTCTGTTAGTATAAACTTTAGTAACGAAATATTCGGTTAATTATTTATTATTCTTAACTTACTCATTAAACATATACTACAAATATGTTAAAATATATTTTAAAAAATATATAATATAAAATTTAACATAAACTTTGGTCAAATAATTAGCCCGACTAAATACATAGCATTCAAAATTGAGTATCAAAAATTATAAATCGGGAACTTTGAAAATCATTTGATTTTCTTGCATTTTAAGAAGAAAAAAAAAAACAAATTTAGGTTAGGTTTTTTTTAAAAAAAAAAAAAAATGACATGTACCGAAGATGAAGACAATCACAATGCTACCCAAAAGAGAATTAAGAAGAATTTGAAAAATGTAAACTAAAAGTAGTATTTATTTAGACTATCGCTTTTAGACTAGCTTATTACAAACTTGCAAACATTTATTTTAGTAACAATTATAATCAATCTCTCACACACACACACATATATATATATATATATATATATATATATATATATATATATATATATATATATATATATATATGTATATATATATATATATGTATATATATATATATATATGTATGTATATATATATACATATATATATGTATATATATATATATATATATATATACACACACATATATATATATATATATATATATATATATATACATATATATATGTATATATATATACACACACACATATATATATATATATATACATATATATATATATATATATATATATTATCTTGCATTTATATACTTTAAATTACCAATTTAATAAACAAATTCAACATTTATTTACCTGTGTATGAACACCTCCTATATAATATTGCATTGATATAGTTTGTAATACTTATTTAAAAATAATCATTGGACGTTATCTTAAAAAAACTAGTATATATTAAACAGCACGAAGGATCAGAGACGGAGCCAAAGGGGGGCAGGGGGCAGCTGCACCCCTCACCCCACCTCCACCCCATATATAATATTTGTATGTATATATGTATATATAGTGCAGGTTTTAGTATTAGTATAAAAAAAAAATTTTTAAATGTCAACAAGAAATGAGTTAGATTAGTTGATAGAGGATATGATTGGTAATAATAAAGGCCAAGGGTTTGAATCCTTTGGTATCAACATAATTTTACAGTTTTTTTTGTTCCATTGATAATTATCTCTTTTGTTTTAATGTTTCACTTTTACTGGAAAAAAAATTCTGAATCTGTTCCTACTACTTCGTCCTCCCTACCCCAAATTTCTGGCTCCATCCTGCGAAGGATGCCGCCATGTTAGGTCGTCGTAGAAGGATCGATGCAATTTAATATCGCACGAAAACAATATTGTTGTTAGGTAAGACATCAACCTAGCAGTCAACAACAAACTTCCTGGCTTGCTCATACATATCTATATAGAGAATAGGATAATCCAAAAATGAGAGAATAATATCATGGCCCTTCAACAGTTCAGAAAGATTATTGCTACATTTTCTTTGAATTATTTTATTTGAGTAAATATTTTATAATTTTATTCTCATTCTAATTTGTCATTTTGGGTAACAAAGACTGGTCCTCTAGAAATTAAGATTTGGTGAGAAAGCAACTATGGTTAGTATATATTTGAACAGCTAAATGATGTGACACTATCCACAGACTTATACATTATTATATGGTTGTTTTTAAAAATTATTTTTAGGGTTAGAAGATATAATAAAATGTGTTGTTCCTTTACACTTTATTTTTTTATTTTATTTTATTTATTTATTATTATTTTTTTTATCTTTCACATTTTTTCTTTTGATTTAACTTTTTTTTTTTAGTACCTCTTGATTTAACTTTTATTTTAAACATTTTTTAACCCTTATTTGCTGGAATTTTTTTTAAAAAATTAGTAATATATGTGGCATAAAATGTGTTTTTATTTAGTATTATTTATGTTGTACATTTATAATTTTTTAACAAGTTTAATTTACTTTTAATATTTTTTTATTTTGTCAATTCTCTCCTCACTATGTAAAATACAAACATGTGTGTATATGTAATTTCTATAATATAGTTCAATTTAATAATAATTTTTTAGGAAAAACATTCAAATTAGCCATGGAACTAAATCTAAAACTGCAATTAGTCCATTGAACTTAAAAATGTGTAATAATTAGATTCCTCAAGTAGCCAAATCTGTTTAGTTATACCAAATAGTGGGTTGACCCTTCCTCAACAGGTTACCATACCACATAACTCCTACATGGATATTAAATTAAACATATTTTTTATTATATTTTAAAATTATGTTTATAAATTAAACATTATTACTTTTATTGTTAGTCTCTCCAAATCTCCTGACAGGATAATAGGGCTGGCACCCGACCTGGATCACAAATGGGCATTGACTCAGCATCACATGGGAACCCAACGGGCAGAACTCCAATGGTCAGGAATTCCAACAGGTGCCACTTTACTACCATTGAAGCCAACATTGAAGTCCCCATTGATGAGAGAGAGTTAAAGGCTAGGCTCCCCATTTATATCCCATGTTGTTACCGTTAGGACTCTAAGTATAAATGGGGCTCCCCTCAGCTAGCAATGGACACACTGTACTTTCTATACTGAGACAAAAAGCAATACAACTATTGTTACTCTCTTTTAGCATTATTATATTATTATTTACCGGTAACGTTATTACCGTCATTGGTGCTTTCATTGAGAGCCTGAGTCCAATACTCAAGCAGGCTACGACAAAAACTCATTCCTCTTTCAACAACAAGCTTGAAAGAATGGCGTCCCGCAGCTCCCACGGTTCTCGCAACGTGAACAATGGCAATGTGAACAATGACAACGCCTCAGGCGACCTCCGTGACCTACTCACCAACAATCGCGGAGGGGACCTCCGAGAACATCTCAACAACGGGAGGCCCGGGGACCTCCGAGACCAGCTCCACAATGGAGGGGCGAACCAAGTCATGAACTTCCAGGCAACCATTCAGCAAGCAGTAGCGGCGGCACTAAACCAAGTGGCGGTGGGACTACAAGGCCAAGTGCCCCCGCCGCGGCCTCAGGAAATAGAGGTAGAATCCCCACGAAGAGTGGATGCCCAGGACGCGACCCGTGCCGCGAGAGACGCAGGGCGTCGCACTAGGACCGGGGGCTCGGGAGAGGGCACCCAAAGAATCGGACCGGCCGGACGGCAACCTAGGCCCTCCCGCTCTGCCCTAGAACTGTTGGGACACGGGGCGCCCGCCCGGCAAAGGCCGGAATCGCGTGCCGAGGGGTCTTCCGCTAGAGGCCCTCATCGACACGAGGAAAGAGAAGCGGAAAGATTGCCCTCAGAAAGGATGGGCGAGTCTCGTGGGTCGGCCCCGCGCCGGCACGGTGACGAGTCGGCCCCGCGTCGACATTCGGATGAGCGACGCTTCGATGAACCGGTCCCGCGTCGGCACTCGGCGGAGCGACGCGTCGATGAGCCGGCTCCGCGTCGGCACTCAGCAGGCGAACGACGCATTGGTGAGCGGGTTCCACACCGACACCTGGAGGGACGAAACGTCGAGGAACCAGCTCCGCGTCGACACTCAGATGGACGGCGCGCCGATGAACTAGCCCCGCACATGGAGGAGCGGCAGCCGGTCCCGCGCCGACACCCTGACGAGTCGGCCCTAGTCGAAAGGCTGCAGAGAAGGATCGAGGAGCTAGCAAGAAGGGTAGAGGCACGGGAGCAGTCGCCGGAACCCGAGGTACGAATGGCAGCACCGTTCTCCCCAAGCATCATGGACGTACCTCTGCCGAGGGACTTCAGGTTACCCGCCATCAAGGCATACACAGGAGCCACTGACCCACGTGTCCACATGACTAGGTACAAGGCTGCTATGGTGATGATTGGGGCAGGGGACGCCATCGTGTGCCGAGCGTTCTTGTCCACCCTGGATGGAACGGCCCAAGATTGGTTCAACACCATCCCAGACGGGTCGATCCAAAATTTTGGAGAGTTGTCCAAAAGCTTCCTGACATACTTCTCTGGTAGCATACAGCGTAAGAAACCGTTCTCCCACCTCTGTGTGGTAAAGCAAGATAGAGGCGAGAGCCTCAAAGACTTCCTGATCAAGTGGAAAAAGGAAGTCAATAATGTCTACGATTTCGACTCCAAGGCAGCGATCCCGATATTCATCCACGCCTTGAGATCAGGGTATTTTCACAAGTAGCTGAACGCCCACCACCCCCGTTCGTACGAAGATTTGATGAGGACGGCTAGCCGCTATGCCGAAGCAGAGGACGTCGACAGGAAGAAAAATGATGAGGAGGACGGCAGGAAGAATGGGAAACCTGGGAAAGTTGGTTCGCCCAGCCAGGCGCCACGTTCGAACCACCCGGCTGCAGGAAAAGGCCGGGACCATGAACGGCCTTGCCTGGTTCCCTTGCGTAACCTAACTCCGCTTACCCATCCCGTCAGCGTCATCCTAAAACAGGCTGAGGAGATGGGAATAGTCGAGTTCCCACCGGAATGCATGAAAGTCTCCCTAAAAGGAGACCAAGCAAAGTACTGTAGGTTCCATAGGCAACCCGGGCACGACACGGACGAATGTAACGTGCTAAAGAGACAAATAGAAGAACTCATCCAGCAGGGCTACTTTCGGCATTTTGTCAAGCGATCCAAGCAGCAGCAACAGCCGCAGCGCGACCCATCAAAAAATCCACCAAAAAATGTCTGGAGGAAGGAGGATGGCGCCGAGCCATCCACCTTGAACGCCAAGAAAAGAGACCACGACCAGATATCGGAGCAGGATGATAGCGAGAAGGAAACCGAGATGGTGCCCAGACGACAAAAGAAACACACTATACATTTCATCTATGGTGGACCAGCTGGCGGCGACACACCTACAGAGAGGAGGAAGTGGAGCAGGCAGCTGTACGTGGGAGAAGTGGTGAGTCTTCCAAAAGGGAAGAAGCAGAGGCGGGAGGCCATCACTTTCTGTGACGAGGACCTTCCCGAGGGCCCCTTACCCCATCGCGACGCACTAGTGATTAAGATGGACATTAATGATATGATCGTACATCCCATCTTGGCCGACACGGGAAGCTCGGTTAACATGATGTACTACGACGCCTTCACCAAGTTGGGGCTACCTAGAGGCCAGCTCAAAGAGGTACGAACTCCATTGTCTGGGTTTACTGGGGATTCCGTGGAAACAGAAGGGTCGGTGACCCTGCCCGTGGAGATAGGCACGAGCCCCAACATTCGCAAGATGGACATGGAGTTCATCGTGGTAAGGCTCACTTGTGCGCACAACATCATACTGGGGAGGCCAGCACTAGAGGACCTCAAGGCCATAATATCAATGGAACACTTGTGCATGAAGTTCCCCACTCCGAATGGGATAGGAGTCGTCAGAGGTGACCGACGGGCGGCCCGCAGTTGCTACGTGAAGGCATGCAAAAAGATTGGCAGCAAGGACTTACAGGTCCACACGATCGCGGAGAAAATTTTCAAAAAAGAAGAGGCCTGGCCCCGCGCCGAGCCCGTGTCAGAGACGGAAGATATAGTTCTGGATCCCTCCAGACCAGACCGAGTGGCGAAGATCGGCACAGGCTTAAGCCCAGAGCTAAGGGCCCAAATAGTGGATGTAATTCGTCGTTCTCACACGGTGTTCGCATGGGGGCCAGAGGACATGCCGGGCATAGATCGAAGGATCATAACCCACAAGCTCGCGGTCGACCCCAGCGGAAAACCAGTGCATCAGCGAAAAAGGTATATGTCGGCAGAACGAAGAGAGTTCGTGAAAAAGGAGGTGACCGCATTACTCAACGTAGGGCACATCAAGGAAATTTACTACCCACAGTGGCTGAGCAACGTAGTCTTAGCTCCCAAAGGATCGACATGGAGGATGTGCGTGGACTACACGGACCTCAATAGGGCATGCCCTATGGACCGTTTTCCACTACCCAATATAGATCAATTGGTGGATGAGACGGCAGGATGTGAACTCATGAGCTTCATGGACGCCTTCCGTGGGTACCATCAGATATCCATGCATGAGGAGGATGCAGAGAAGACCGCCTTCATCACTCCTGAGGGGATATTCTGCTACTTGGTCATGCCGTTCGGATTGAAGAATGCCGGGGCCACATACACTCGCATGGTGGCAAAGCTGTTCAAGTCAGTACTGGGACGAAACATGGAAGTGTACGTGGACGACATGATCGTCAAAAGTCGCAAGGCCACTTCCCATGCCGAGGATCTCAGCGAGGTATTTTCCATTATGAAAAAATTTAATTTGCGCTTGAACCCAAAAAAATGCACCTTCGCCGTTGATGGGGGCAAATTTTTGGGCTTCATGGTCACCAGGAACGGCATTGAGCCGAATCTAGAAAAAGTAAGGACTATCCTTGACATGGAGCCTCCACGGTCCATAAAGGAAGTCCAGAGACTCAACGGGCGTCTGGCGGCCTTAGGCCGTTTTCTATCGAAATCGGCTGAACGTTCCCTCCCCTTCTTCCAAATCTTGAAAAAGAGCAAAGGGTTCGAGTGGACGCCGGACTGTCAGAAGGCCTTCGAAGAGTTGAAAAAATACTTGTTGTCCCCGCCCCTGCTAGCAAAGCCAGAGGCAGGTGAAACCCTAATCCTGTACTTGGGCGTATCACAGGGTGCGATCAGCTCCGTGCTGGTCAAAGAAGAAGGAGGGACTCAGCGTCCCATCTACTACGTAAGCAAAGCCCTTCACGACGCAGAGCTCCGGTACAGTGTGTTGGAGAAAACAGTATTTGCTATAGTCACTTCATCAAAAAGGTTAGCTCACTACTTCCAAGCTCACCCCATCCACGTACTTTCACATCAGCCGTTGGGAAGCTTCCTACGGAATACTAACAGCTCCGCCAGGATGGCACGGTGGGCCATGCACCTCAGTCAGTTTGACATAGATTTTAAACCGAGGCCCGCCATCAAAGGCCAAGCGCTTGCAGACTTTATAGTGGAGTGCACAGCTCGGGAAGTAGCGGATCAAGTAGAAACTGAAGATGGAGGGTGGTGGACTTTGTCCACAGACGGCTCTTCCAACAGCAAAGGCTGCGGCGGCGGTGTGGTGCTCGTCACTCCGGAGGGATTCCGCGCCTACTATGCCATCCGATTCCACTTCAAGTTGTCTAACAATGAGGCGGAGTACGAGGCCATCCTCAATGGACTGCGATTGGCGGCGGGACTACGAGCTGGAAAGGTCCGAATTCGATGCGACTCCAAGCTGGTTGTCAGCCAGGTGTCCGGGGAGTATGAAGCCAACGAAGGAAGCATGCAGAAATACAGAGACGCGGTGTTGAGAACCTTGCGCGAGTTCGAGGGATATGAGATACACCAGGTACCGAGAGAGCAGAACGCCGACGCCGACAAGCTCTCAAAGCTAAGTACCGGAGTCCCCGGCCACATTAGGAAGATCGCTCGACTAGAAGACCTCGAGACTTCAAGTATCGACGTCTCGTGGGTCTTCCCTGTGCAGACTAGGGAGCCATGTTGGATTGATCATATCAAGCGATACAAGGCAGATGGCACCCTACCGCAAGACGAGGCAGACGCCAAGGTAACGAAGTTACGGGCACCTAGCTACGTTGTCTCGGGCGATAAGTTGTACAAACGCTCCTACAACGGCACGTTACTGAGGTGTCTATATCCAGATGAAGCGAAGTTGGAGATAAAAGAAGTCCACGAGGGAGTATGCTCCGCGCACCAAGGGGCGTACACCATTGCGCGCCGCATCATGCTACAAGGGTATTTTTGGCCCAAAATGCTGAGGGATTGCGCCGAATATACAAAGCGATGTCCCAAGTGCCAAGAATTCCAAGCACTGCCGGGTCGATCTGCGACGAACTACACCCTGATAAGCACCGCGATTCCTTTTTCAAGATGGGGAATTGACCTGGTAGGGGCCCTTCCCACGGGGACTGGAAGCAGAAAGTACATCATCGTGGCCATTGACTATTTCACGAAATGGGTGGAGGCCGAGCCCCTAGCGAGCATCACTGCAGCAAGGTGCAAAAGGTTTGTCGAGAAAAACATCCTGTATCGTTTCGGTATCCCCCTCCAGGTAATCACAGACAATAGTCGTTAGTTCGAGGCACGAGAATTTTCAGAATTCTTAGCAGGATGGGGCGTTAAGCATAGCCGGGTAGCGGTATCTTATCCTCAGGCGAATGGGCAAGTGGAGAATGCGAATAGAACCATCCTCGACGGCCTCAAGAAAAAGCTAGAAGTAGCCGGCGGAGCCTGGGTGGAGGAACTCGATGGCATCCTCTGGGCCTATCGCACGACACCAAGAAGGGCCACCGGAGAAACCCCGTTCGCACTCGCCTATGGATTTGAAGCTCGGGCCCCGGTGGAAGTAATCATACCTAGTAGAAGGGTGGAGGAATTCGAGTCAGAACAAAATGAACTCCACCAAAGGGTGGATCTAAACTTCTTGGATGAAAAGAGAGAGGCGGCATTCTGCAAGATGGAGAACTATGGTCGTCAACTAAAGTCCTACCACGACGCAAAAGTCCGACCCCGTTACTTCCAAGTCGGCGACCTTGTGCTGCGAAGAAGGGAAGCCAGCCAACCCCTTGAAGGGGGAAAATTCGCAAAAAAGTGGGAGGGGCCTTACGTCGTGGAGGAAGTCGTTCGTCCAGGGACATACAAGTTAAGAACTACAGGGGGAAGAATGATCGATCGGGTATGGAACTCGGAACATTTGATCAAATACTTTCCTTAAAAACCTTGTAGTAGCAATCATTAGAATTAGTGCTTGGCAATCGCGGTCCGTCCGCTTTACACACTAAAAGTCCTGGGAAATAATATCTTACTTTCATGGTCCGTCCATGTTACTTAATAAAACAAGCTCGTTATCATCTTTTACAAAAAATTTTCGAAGTAATATCTTGTGCTCGTGGTCCGCCCACGTTAAAAAAAAAAAAAAAAAAAAAAAAAAAACCAAGTGGCCGAGGCGTGTGGCTAAGGCAGCGCCTCGGCCCCGATCAAAAAAAAAAAATAAAAAAATAAAAAAAAACTGAGGCCGCGCCTCAGCCAAGGCCGAGGCGCACGCCTCGGCCACAGGCTGAGGCCGAGTCCGAGGCCACAAAAAAAAAATAAAATTATAACAACATGTTTATTCCGAAGTAACTAGTTTATTTCGAATATTCTAAAAATAATAGCAAGTTGTTCAAAAACAGGAAGCAAATTGTTCAACGACATAACCAGAAAGCAAGGGAAAATCTCAAAGACTACAAACTACTCATGATCCGAGAGCTCCTCAATCATAATCTGATCCAGTGGAACATTGGAGACGTTGCTAGTGTCAATGCCGTGAAACTCGTCCACCAAAGAATCCTCCCGAGCGTCCGTGACATCATCAGTGGATTCATTCTCAGCATCAGGATCCGGATTCTTCTCTATCACAGACAAGCCAAGGGACACGGGGTCAAAATTTGGAACCTTCTCCCTCAGCACTGAAAAGATCTCCTGTTGCTTCGTGTACCGCCCAATATTAAAATCCACCTGTGCTTCAGCCTCGACCGCCTCTTGACCAGTCCTAGTCTTGAGGAACTCTCGGATAGCCTCAAGAATGCACATATAGTGCATCGCGTCCTCCCTAAACTCGGCGGAACTCTTATAGACCTCCACAGCCCGGCCGAGGGCGTCGACATGGCCAGCACGGGTCCTCTCGTGGTCCTCCCGCTCCGTCACGATGGCAAGTTTAGCCGCTTCGTGCTCCTTCCTTAGGGCCTCAAGCTCACCCTCCATCTTGCTTATAGCCTCCGCCCGAGCCAACAATGCTTGGTGTTCCTTCCTTAGCGCCCCGAGCTCGCCTTCCATCTTGCTCAAGGCCCCTTCCCGGATCGATAGCAGGCCCTTGAGGCTCTTGTTGTCCGCGTCCCTAATTTTAACATCCTCAATGAGCGAGTCCATCACCCGCCCTCGTTGGGCATGAATGATCTGTCCCTCTAGCAGGGCCTGAAAGTAAACAGAGTAAGACACACGCCAGGGCAGAGAGGGAACATTAAGTATGAAAACACTAACCTCAAAACTGTGCCTGAGATAACGCTCTTGCAGCATGTTGACATCCATGGCTACAAGGTGTTCCAAGTCCGCAGGAGGAGCGATACGGGCAGCATACTCAACCGCATCAAGACTTTTATTTATTAACGACGCTCCGGGTGGCACGTCCATTCCCAGTCGAATCAAGTTGGTCCGAACACGCGAGCCGGACTCAGTAGAAGTATCTCCTCGCACTTCGGGGGGTTGAGGGGAAAAGGTAACGGCCGTGGGCGTCCGAGCCGATGGAGGCTGCGTCACCCCCTCGTCAACCTCGGTTGGAATAGGCACACGCACCTTCGGGGCAACCTTTTTTGGGGTAGGCGTACGCTCAACGTCCTTGGATGGAGTTGGCGTGCGTGCCGGCGGAGGCGGCATCACCTCCGTGGCCTCGGCTTGACTCTTCTTTCCTTTCTCCACCTTGCTCTTCTTAGAGGGGGGATCCGGTCGCGACAAGTATCGGCTAGTCCTCGAAGATGAAGACATGGTACCTGCAATAAAAAGAAGACAAGTTAGAGTTAGTGGTTGACGAATAAAATACTGAGTGGTAACTAAAGAGTACCCGTGGGCGAAAAAACAGCCGGATGAGTCCTCACGAAGCCTAAGCCCGCGAGCTTCCACTCGGTAGTATAATCAACGATCGATAAGAGACCATCCCCCAGTAAATCATCTACATCTCGGCGGAGGGAGGGACTCATGTCAAGAGTAGGAGGGAAACGTAAATGGGATCCCCACGTGACACGAAACGGAAACGGACGACTCACAAGAGTGACAAAGACATATTTGGGTTTCCAATCCTTGTTATAAGTAGGACGGTCCTCAAAGAGTTTGAAATGTGGCCTGCTCGAAATCTGGACGAATCCCTTACCCTCCTGAGAAGCCCTACCAACTATGAAAAGAGCCTGGAAAAGATCTAGCGTGGGTTCTATCCCTTTGTCCTTACATATAGCAAGAAAGCCCGCAATTACCTAGTGACCATTGGGAACTAGCTGGCCGGGGACTATCTCATAGTGGTTCATAATGTAACACCCCGTGTTACGACCCCTAAGATCAATTAAATCATTTAATCAATTACCCAAAAGAAAGAATTAAATCACAATAATTAATTAGGAAGGCCCACCATAGTCCACGGGCCCTTATCCCTAAACCCAATCCTTAGTCCCAAAAGAAATAGAACTAGCAAGCCCATAATATTAGTTCCTAACTAGGACTCCTAAATATATAAATAGGGGACTTAAGAGGCACCTAGAAACCCCCCCCACAAGAATAACGCCCCACCTCCCCAAAGAGCTCCAAGAGTCCCCCTAGAAGAAATCAAGAAAGCCTAAAGAAAGACCCTTCATAGCCAAGGAATTAATTAAGGCTAAGAGGTAACCCATGTCTCAACAAAACCTATTTTCGTAGCTATGATTTCCCCCGTAAGATTTCCCCATATTATTGTGTATTAATGACTTGTGATGATTATGATTGATGATTGAGGTGATGATCCCATGGGGGATCTTGATAGTCTTGATATTGGGAGATTCTTGATAATTATGATGTTCTTGATGATTATATGGAGTTCTTGATGATTATGTTTTGTTCTTGATAATTGTGTGATGCCCTTGATGCTTATGTGTTATTCTTACCGAATCTTGCAATTAGAAGGCGAATCGTATTCTTGTTGATATAAAAGTGATTAGAACCCTAGGTTGTATCGTATGATATTATTCTTGGATTATCGGGTGGGGTAATCGCATGTTTGGGTGTTGATTATGTTTAGAAAAGCATGATAGGTTATGTGCCGTTCGTTTCTCGTATTTGATCCGTTAATTGTCTACGTGTTGTCGTTGATTGCGTTGTAAAGTGTCTAAGCATGGTTTCGGGTTCCACAATCGTTCCCGGGGCGAAATTGTGTGATAAGAGTCAGTGGGGGGTAGGGGACCCGCCACCTACCCACGGCCGGAATGGTGATCCCGGCAGCGGGCAGCCGGCGGGCGGGCAGCTGCCCGCCGGCGACCCGCTGCCCGGAATAGTGAATCCGGCGGGTGGCCCCCCACCCACCGGCTACCCGCTGGAATTTTCCCCATCTTGGGTTCCCGGCTTCCCCGTTTGATGTTTCCTCGTCCCCCGTGGTGTCCCAACGGACTCCGTTTATCGTGCCTATGTCTAGTTTGATATTTCGGGTACCGTTCGTAGGTTTATGAGTCTATTATATTGCATGCTAGTTGAATTGGTGTCCCATTGACCTAGGTGGAAGAAGTATGAACCCCTTAGGACTATTCTTAGTATGTGATGGATCACGCATAGGTTTTGTTATACGTTTTCTCCCCCTTCCCAATGTGTTAATGTGGGTTGCATGTACTTTCTATGTGTTATGTGTGCATGTAACCCCGAGTTGGTTAAGATCAATCGGGCTATACGGGCAGTCGGGTGGGCTGAGAACCATACCGGCTGTTAACCAGGCTGGTAGAGACCGGTCAGGTATATAAATATTATATAGGACTAAGTTCCACTATACGGGCAGTCGGATGGGCTGAGAACCATACCGGCTGTTAACTAGGCTGGTAGAGACCGGTCAGGTATATAAATATTATATAGGACAAAGGTCCACTATACGGGCAGTTGAATGGGCTGAGAACCATCCCAACTGTTAACCAGGCTGGTAAAGACCGGTCAGGTATATAAATATTATGTAGGACAAAGGTCCATCAGTCGGTTGCGATCGGCTCCTCCGTAATGTGAGACGGGGCAGGGTGCTGCGGGGCTGTGTCAGAGCTATATGCGCTGACCCTCATGTATGGGCATGCGATTGGTCCTGTGGCGCCAACAAAGTATGCTATATGATGAGATATGGAGGAGTTGTGTTTATGAGTATATTGGGGGATGTGACTAAGGGATTTATGCTGGGGATTGTTTATGTTGGGTTATGATTATTAATTATGCTCAGCTTTATCTGTCTTGCCTGTTGTGGATTGTATACACCTGTTATAACTGTTGCTTGTGTCTAGCCTTATCTGTCGAGTCATTCCCGGTTTTAAAAGCTATAGTCTCATAGGATATGTCTTCATGCCTTAAAATGGGTTTCGTATATCTATATATATCTCTATACGTATTGTATTTCAACGCGTTGGAGTGGGTTACCAGCATCTCTCGCTGAACAGATATATTTGGCTTTCAGGCACAGAAGATTAAGTCACTGGAGTGCGCTAGAGCTTGGAACATAGAAGTAGTTAGTTTCCCTTTCGGCCTGCGTGCCATGTTTATACATTCATATCATTGAGACATTAGTTAGTTAGCCTGTGCACCTGAGTTCTCTAGCTCAGGTGTGGCATAGCACCCCGTACACTCGTACTCTGTTTGGGATTTAATGAGATTTCACCTTTATTTTATAAGTTTTAAATATCTTGAAAATCTGGGGTGTTACACATAAAATCTACCACAAACCTATGGAGGGGAAACCGCAGCCCAACCTGTAGCGACAGAAGGTGGACCCCAAAATACTTATCCGAGGGTGGGTCGGTGATATTACCCCGAGGTTCAGGAGGGAGAGTCAGAACGTCAGGACTGAGGAGGCCTCTAATATCATCCCAATCCCGTTCCCCTAATTGAGGCTGTATGGACAAGACAAGGGACTTATCAAGAACAGAATAGGAGGCCTTGCGTTTTTTCTTCTTTTTCATTTGGGGCTTAGGTGTAGGC